TAGTTCCCACTACATTTTTTAGTTCCGAAATTATTTCTGATCTGATTTCTTCTATACCTTTCTGCAGTTGATTCTTTACTGTCAACGCTATTATTTCAGAGATATCTGGTGTGTGATTTCCAGTCTCCTCAGTGCTAGTGTCTTCTGCATTTGTACTGGCTGGACTCAGGGCCTGAGACTGCATTTTATTCCTTCTCTTTGTCATTTTGTATACCACTGTCTTCTGACCTTTGGTGTAGAGCTTAGGTAGAGTTATTACCTTACCACCAGGTCCGGATCTACGAAGTTCAGATTCCTTGAGGTGGGTGTTGCTTGGATCTGGCTGCTGTGCTTCACTTCTTTCTGCTGCATGCCTTAGAGTTGAACCCTTTGTGTCACTCTGGCAAGATGTTCTGCTCCTGAATCAGCTGGGTGGGTCTCGCCTCTAGCCTCCTTGCAGGGAGTTCTGCTGAAGGGTTCCCTGCTGGGCCTGCAGCCTGGTTCAAATGAGGATCTGTGGCCCTGGGTCGTCTCAGTTACTCGCAGGGCCTGCGCTCTGGGTCTGTTCAGGATCCCGCGGCCCGGGTGGTCTCACTCACTCGCCGGGCCTGTGCTCTGGGTCTGTTCAGGATCCCGCGGCCTCGGTCGTAAAAAAAAAAAAAAAAAAATTAAAAACCACAAAAACAAAAAAACAGAGCCACACAGTTAAAGAATAGCTGACTCAGAATGTAAACTTGAGCTGTGTGTGTCTAAGCTTCCTGCCTGAGCCGTGACCTCTCCTTCCTGTAATAGAACAGCTGCCTCTCACCATGGCTTTATTCTAATGATGAAGGTGCAAACTGCAGATAACTAGGCTTACATTTTAGTCAGGTTCTCCTTACAAGCACTAAAGGCTATTAGCGCTTGAGTTGTGTGTGTGTGTGTGTGTGTGTGTGTGTGTATGTGAGCACGTGCACCTGTGTGTGTTCAGGTGTGCATGTGTGCATTTCTTACTTTCTTCCATAAACACATTTCTAGGAATAGAGGTCTGCAGAGATGGTCTTTGGCTCTACATTGTGCTTTCGTTAACCAATTCTTTCTGTTTCAGGACACAGTAGCCAACATGAGCAGCGGTCCAGAGCCTCCAGTTTTCAAACAACTGATACCTCCGCTTATCCCCAATATTGCGGACAGAGCACCGATAGGCAGAAACTTTGGGGATGTTCTGGAGCCAGTGAAGCCTGAATACAGAGTGGTAAGACTCAGACAGATTTTAATATAAATTGAAGACCTGTTTTTGGAGATGAAGGAGAGGCTGTTGTTTAGTGTCAACATCTTCTTCCCATCAGGCCATAGACCAGTGGTGGTGAAGCTACAGCATGTGTGCCACAGCCCCTCTGTGTTGTCATCAAAACAGTGTAAAACAGTCACCATCACTGTCATAGAACATTTTTAGTAATGATAATTTTGACAGTTCTTTTCTTTGCAGAGATACTGCAAAATAACAGGAGGAAATACCTTTTTCTAGGGGTAATTGTGTATAATTGAATTACTAAAATATAAACTATTCATTTTCTTAAGTAAATGGTCAAAGACCAGTTCATGTAGCTGAGAAGTATCTTTTAAATCAAGAGCAAAAATAGTTAGAAATAAAACTGAATCTGAACCTGTATATTTTATATTGATCTTCTATCTTATAATCTTACTAAATCATTTATTAGTTCTAATAAGTGATGTTATTGTTTTCATATGTATTCCTCAGAAATTTCAACACACACCATACCATCTGCGAATGACAACTGGCTTACCTATTCTTTCTGGACTTTTCTTCAGAGTGTCTTTTTCTTTTCTGATTGAATGTTCTAGAACTTCCAATACAGTGTTTAATAGAAGTTGTGAGACTTTTGTTGGAAGTGGGTATTGGATTTTTGCAAGTGCTTTTCTATGTTGAGATGATCAGATGATTTTCTTTTTGCCTTTTACTCTACTAATATGGAATATTGTCTTGATTCTAGGTATTTAAATAAATACCTCATATTTTGCTATTAATGCTTCCCTACATTGCTGAATCTGGTTTCTAATGCATTGCTAAAAGTTTTACATGCATGCCTACAAGGGCTGTGGGTAGTTTCCTTTTCATCTGGTGTCTTTGGTATCAATGTCGCTATCTTAAGCACTTTTCTGTTGCCGGGACCCAAGACAGCTACAACTTAGAAGAGGAGTGGTTTAGTTTAGCTCTTGCTCTCAGTCTGAGGTTGGCTGGCTGCAAGGAGAGAAGGCATAGCTGAGAGAAGCACGGAGGAAAAGCTGCTCATGTGGAGGAAGCCTCATCCTTACGAGTCTTGATTTCTTTTTAAGGTTTTTGTCTCCATTGCCTTCAAATATTTTAGCAGCTTTTTAGGGTTATAGAGTCTTCTTCTGGAGTTGGCTTCTACATTCTTTCTGTTCTGAGCAAAGAATCGGTCAAGACAAGTGCAAACGATAGCAAAGTTTTATTAGAGGAAGGAAAAGAAGCAGGCTCTATAGAGTGAGCTCAGACCAAGCAAAACTAGGCAAAGTATACTCACTAGCATGAGGGCAGGTAACCAGTCCCTCATGAGAACACAGTGGCAAGAGCTCAGTGTGCTCTGTCATTTTTGTATCCCCCCCTCACCCCAGTTTTGGGCCCTCCTGTAGACAATCTACTGGAGTTTTCATGAGGAGCTGTTCTGGGCATGCATCCTGGGATTTTGTAATTAGCAGGCCATGGGCTGGAGATGTAGACCAGTAGCCTGGCAAGCACAAGGTCCTGAGTTCAATTCCCAGTACCAAAACCAAAACCAAACAAAAACCCCAAGACAAAAAACAGCAGCAATAAAAAACCAAAAAATAGGTCATGCCTACATCTTGGGCCAGCTTTTCACCCCCTAAACATTTGTCTCACTTCCCCCTGAGAGATACACATCTCCATAGTTCTTATGGGATGCTGAGTAAGTGGAGGGCTATATTATATGTCTTGCTGTGAATACAGACCCTACTTACTGGAGATTATGTACTTGCCAACTACTGGCTGGAAAATAACCTTCCAGAAGACAATGATAAAAGAGTTATTGACTACTGAATTATTTGTTTGATGGAAGAAAGAAAGTAACTTTACTATTATGTTGAGGATATTGAACCCAAATATGAGACCTACACAGTTCTTGTGGGGACAAATATGGCAAAGAGGGAGGTTAGATACACTACTGGGAGCCTGAGAGCCTAGTATCAGCCTACATAGATCCTGCGTAATGATCAAGTTAAGAGGTGCCTACTTAAACTACTGATGAGGGTCACGAGTAATGCTCCTTGTTTGCACCTGGAGCAGCACTGGTGTCTTGCTTGCTAAAGAAGAGCCTCAGGTCTTCCAGAGGGTCTAGGTATAACTCTTTTCTTATTCCTGTGAAAATTCTAGTGAGCACTGCATCCCTTGAGGAAGGATCAGAATGGCTCCTCAGGACCTGGGAATGAGGCTGGCATCTTGAGGGGCTGTAGGACTACCTTTCTTGCCTCCCTGTCAACCTTTAGATTGCCCAAGGAGAATTTAGATGTGTCTCTTTGGGGTCCCTTACAATGAAGGCCTGTTCAGGAAGATAGACTACTTCGAAGAATTTTAGAAATTTCTGCTTGTATTTTACAGATGATTGCTTATTAGTCAGCAAGCTCCTTTTTTTCAGATTGCTGCATGGGCATGTAGTGCCAGGAAAGCAAATTTGGAGGCTGTACCAATATGTACAGTGGTACCTTGGTTTATGAAGTTAATTCTTTCCATGATTCTGGTTACAAACCAAATTAAAAAAGAGCCAAATCAAATCTCCCTATTAGGTCAACATTGAACCCCGCTGTTACATTTTTCCAGTTCTCATCCAGTTCAGTTTGTGCCCAGAATTATGGAAAGAACTAAGTTTGTGGGCCAAGGAACCACCGTAGCTCCTTGCTTTTTCCTAATATCAGCACAAAGTAAAAGCTGTGACTTCCGCTCTTTGAGCAGAGGTCCCTGGGGGAGTGTCTTGCTTCAAAGTCCTGCTGTAAACTGACAACCGTACAACTTGCCTTTCAGCAAACTTCTTGGGCAAAGCTGACTTCCTTAGTGACTTCCTCTTCAGGGTCTTGGCGGGGCAGGTTGTTGATGTCCTGCCTGCTTGCAGAGGTCGGGGAGATCAGCTGCTCACAAGTTCAGTATCATTTCTAATAGAGTTTTTTCTTTTAAACTATTTTTTGATTTCTTTTAAAAAAATGCCAAAAGAAAGAAAGAAAGAAAGAAAGAAAGAAAGATAGATAGATAGATAGATATATAGATAGATAGATAGATAGATAGACCGACAGACCGACAGACCGACAGACAGAGAGACAGACAGACAGACAGACAGACAGATAGATAGATAGATAGATTAAAAAAAGAGAGTGACTACTGTGTCAGCCTGTTGGGATCAGAAAGATAGGAATAAGAGTTTTGCACATTTTGTAAAAACCTCAGGGGTATCTAGGAGCATGGTCTCACACTTGGAAAGCCATTCCTGCTAACCACAAGTGACGTGTGGCCTCAGGAAGAACTGCTCTGACCTGAGGGGGAGTTGGGACTTCCAGTTTCTGTCCTGAAGTCCACTTTGCAGCTTCCTGTTGGCATCACTGTTACTGCTCTCTCCATCCGGCAGCCACTCTACATCGCCTTTTACAAACTGGGCCACTGGGCAGAGTTTGTGTCCTAGCCTTTGTGCCAAGACACCCCAAGCAGCTCCTCTCTTTTCAGATATGTAGAAGAAGAGGAGTTTTCTTAAATCAGATATTTTTTGTGTGTGTGTCACACAGCAAGATCCTCCTGCTGGCTAATCAGGTCAGGGAGACCTGACGCAGACTTGACAGAATCCATCTGGCCTCTGTCAGAATTTGAGAATTGCCCTAATTTTGTAAGTAAATCTCTTCATAGAAAGATAGTAGGATGCTGTGGGACAGTTAGAAATGCAGGGCTCAAAATTTGTCCTTCAAAATAACACACCAGAACAGAAGTAAAGAATCTCTGCCTAGAGGTCCCTTAGTCCCCAGCTACAGCCCTAGATCTAGAGGAGGATTTTCCAGAGAAGGAAGCAAGAACTGAATGAAGTCATTGCACTGGCTCCCCCATAGCACCCAGCATTACCCAGGATTCCTCGTGAGCGATGGTAACATCCGTGGGTGGGCATTGCATGTTGCCTTCGTTCTCTCTGGGTCAAGAAACAAGGGTTTTGGCTGGCATGGCCCCTTTTGGGAGCAAGGACAGTAACCCTCCAGGGCCACAAGGTAGGCCCACTGGGTACCTCACATGCAGAGCAGGGCCCAGGCAGGGACTTGGTGTGGTAGTGTGTCAAGTGTCTGGAATTCTTACACTTAAAACAGGAACTTTGGTGGTTGTTGGATTTTCTGCTAGACACTTTGGGTGAGTTTAGAGCATTGTCATTTGAGATAGCTTTAGTTTTAGCCTTTTCTGTTTTGCCCTCCTCAAGATCCTTCTTGTGGAACATAGAAAAAATCATGTATTGCACTTGAGTCATCAGAGCCTGGAGCCCACCTGAAGCTTCCTCATTAGGCAGAGGGGGAGACTGATGTGGCCCCCGAGACAGGTGGGGGATCTGAGGATAGGATCATCAGGAATGTCTTTCTGTTCCTTGAGGCCCTCTCTAAATACCATTGTTTCTGGGCTTTTCCTTAGATAAAGGGCCACAAAAGCCTGAACGTGAGGAATTTCATTTTACTTTCTGTTTTAAGTGGAAATATTTTAACTAAAAAATATTCTCATAGCTTGAACTACCATCCCATGTCCATCTTTTGCTACTTCTAATTTGTGTTGAACCAGACCATATTTCAGTGGTAGATGATGTAGTCCTTTTCACATTGGGAGGGTGAAACTGTTCCCACCGGTCAAGGATGCAGCCTAGGGGCAAAGTCAGTGGAATCTTCTGAGCAGGGTTCCTGAGGTTTCCCATGGCTCATTTTGGGGCGACATACAGACAAGTAGGTCTTAGGTCCTTTAAGTGCTGTCCCATGCAGAAGGAGGAGACCCAGTGAGCCTACAAAATGTCCCTAATGAGGCTCAAGCATTTACTAGACAGATATCTCTGTCTAAGCTTAAGATAAAGGAGTGTCTTTTATAGAAGCTAAGAGGTGCTGGGCCTTTTGATGGCTTTATTTAGAACTAGGCCTGCAAAGGGCCCCAAAGACAGCATTCTTTGCAAGAAAGCAGACACACTGTGAGCCCCCAAAGTCTCTTCTGTGAGATTCAGATATTTAATAGACATCCAAAGCTAGGAAGATGCTGGCATCTTTCATAGAAACATAGAAAAAAGCCCTAGTTGGCCTTTTTGTCTCCACTTAGGTCCACTAACTCCTAAGGGAGAAGGAGCTGTATTTATTCACAGTGGAGCAAGCTGGTGAACAGTATCTTGGGATTCTCTTAGATACTTTGAGTTACTTGGTGGCTCTGCTTAAGCGAGAGACACTTTTATCTCTTGCATTTACTCCATAATAAAAGCGTTGGCACTTTGTTTAAGGTCATAAAGATGGAAAAAAAACCCATAAAAAAATCCTAAGAATGACTCACATTCTCTTAAGTTAAGCTTTACTGGCTGTTCTTTTATTCTGCACAGGCAAACAGGCATATATTTCTAAATTATGTGCATTTCATTAGAAAAAATAAGGAAGGGATCTAGAAATAAAAAATGGTAGTTGACCCCAAACAGCACCCAGCTACATGACAAGATGGCAGCTCTGACTTAGATAGCACCTCAAAAAAGCAGAGGCCGGCTAGGGGAAAAGCACAGAAGAGACCTGTGTACATGTGAGGTCAAGCAGAGCCTTTTAAAGTCCCTAGTTCTGCCTCCTATCACTGCTGTCTGTGGTACTCTCTTCTCTGTTACTCTAAAGTAACTCATAGATGGTTTGACTGTCATGGATTCCGTGGTTTACATCCTCAGAATAAACAGCTGACATGGACTATTCTTCTTTATCTTCTACCACTCAGTGATCATTGTCTTTCATTAAAGCCTGTTGTCCTTAAAACTACTGTTTAACATGTATTTTGTCCAGTGTTTTAGCTATTTCAGGCAGGAGGGTAGTGTACAACTTGACAGTGTGTTTCATACAGCTGTAAGTATGCCGTCTATAGACTGACCTTACCTGATTCATCTACCTACTATGTGGATGGAACAGAGGTGGGAGACAGCTTCAGGGGCTGAAGAATGCACTTTCATGTGCTGTCCTTGATGTAAATTACAGCTTCAGACCTTCATCTACCCCTGAATTTACAAAAAGAAATTTTCCTGGCTCCAAATTTCATTGTTGATAGGGCATTTTCCCTCATATTCTTAGAAGGTGTTGGTTATATAGAATAGATAGTACCCATCAATCAAGAATCCTAAAACAGGACTGGGGAAATAGCTCAGTGGTATAAGGGTCTGCCTGGCAAGCGCAAGTCCTGAGTTTTATCCCCAGTACCAAAAATAAATAAAAAAATAATAATCCTAAAACATATAATAGATAATGCCTGAGTTTCAGTATAGCAAAAGATCCTTCCATTAGAACTTACCAGGTAAATTTTTATTTCCAGGGAGAAGTTGCTGAAGTCACGTTTGTAGGTGCTAATCCAAAGAATTCAGCAGAAAACCAAGTACGTATCAGTTTTCTTTTCTAAATCTAAATCTATTTTTTAATCTTTTCATTCACTTGACTAGTCCTTTAGGAGTTCAAAACATATGCAGAGAATATACGCACTTGGTCTTCTATCTTATTTTGCCAGGTGGGAAATGTTCAATGCATACCATAAATAAGGAGTTGGGTCTGGAAAAAAAGTACACAGAAAACATCTTTCTGTCTAGGAATATAACATATATGATATATGACACAACTCACATAGGTCTGTAGTATTCCTTGAGAAGAGGGTAACTTAAATACGACCTCTTTGATGTACTCAGACGTGGAACTTTTTTTTTTTTCAAATGTAGAATTTTACTACAGTTTGTGATCTAATGAGAGTCCAAGAAAGTTAGGTGTGTCTTGGACCCTTCCCTCTCATTTTTGGGCCCTTCTATCCTCTTCCATTATTTCTGCCTATAGTCCTACCTCTTCTGTTGTACAGTGATCACTAATCTCCAGATTGATCTCTTATGGGATGGGGTTCTGGCCCCATGGGGTTTCTTTTTACATTGGTGAATTTCTCTAGTCCCTATTCCTGGCAATAATAAGGTATTTATTTATTTATTAATATTTAAAGCTGACAGATAAATTACATATGCAATATAAAAGAAAATAGTTAAAAGTATATGAAATAAAACGTGAAAGAATCTCTTGTCCAACAAATCTGATTTTCAAGAGGATATCACTGTTTAACAGTTTGTTTCAGATCATTTATTTAGGCTTTTGATTTTTATGACCTATATGATATTTATGCACAAGGATAATGTATCTATTAATAGCATGAAATAATTTTAGCTTTTGGTAAATTCCTTCTAATGGCCTCATAACTACACCAACAGTAAGTACCTTGGTTCACAAAGTTAATTCTTTCTAGCTGTAAACATTTAAGTAAAGAAATTTTTAGAGGAGAAGAGACTGAACTTACGAAAAGTGATTCTTGAGTCATATTTTTACTGTGGCTGAGTATGCATTTATGCTATTGGTGAGCCATTCTCCCCCAGGTCTAATTACTTATCATCCAAAATACCTTTCTTTTAAATGATCCTTCCCATTTCTGTTCATAAACTATCCCTAGTTCCAATTGTGGCCATCTGACATCATCAGATATGGGATTGGAGGAAATTGTTCTCCTTAGATGCTCGCTGTGCATCTGTTTTAAATAACTCGTGTTGGAAATATAATCTGAATGCTTACATGTTTATAACATTATTTTCTGAAGCTAACGAAGTATTTAGCGGAGATTCACCCTTAGTGGTCATTTGACCTCCTTAGAGTAGAGACACCCATCATAATGAGTTTCCAGGGAGAAAGAGGAAAATAAAATGTGTAAAGCACTATAATGGAATATACTTAACTTATAAAAATGTTCTGGGATTTGGTACAAAACAACTACTAGTACTCCTTATTACTAGTACTTATCATATCATCATTATCCATATTTATTTAGAGGTCATGAGCTAAGTACTTCCTATATATTATCACATGAATTTAATTTAATCTCCACTGCTTGCCAGTAAGTTACATCTTATGATCTACTTACAGACTAGTAAACTGAATCCTAGAGAGGTTGATGGTAGCCAGTTGTGTGTCTTGAAGAGGATATGGTAGGGATGTGGGTGAGGGACACTTAATGTCTTGCCCCCGATATTCTGGGGTGTAGATTTGCGCTCCAGTCTGCGCTCTACACCTGCTCATCAGGTCCCATCATGCTTCACACTCCATTTGAGGTCTCCTCTATGTCATTCTGCCCTAAATGGCTAGAAACAGCTTTCCTTACAAGTCACCTTGGTTATGAACTCTTCTTCATTAAATATAATCCAGAATTGACTAATTAGAGAGTTTTAAACAATTACATGGCCAGCTAGAAAAAAATATCTGTTCAGCAAAGGATTATTTAATCACTGATAAATGACAAGTATAAAAAGTTGTCATGGTTAAAGTGAATTAGGCACAAATCTTATCATTTATTGGCCAGTGTCCAAGGTATTTTGAGGGAAATTGGTGATGTGTGGCCTCTACATTTATTGACTTATCACAAAATTAAAATCTGTGCTTTATTTGGAGCCGAACTCACATTATGAAACAAATTGCCCTCTTACAATAATCTTCTTGTGAGGAAATAAAATCTATTTATGACGTGGTTTCTTTTTTATGATATGGTTTCTAGGAATCTATTATGACAAAATATAGGAACAACCTTTATCACCAAAGGCAGGGAATATGTGTGTATTCTTTCCAATTTTTTCACTCAGAAAGCTACAGCAACTAATAATTCATCCACCAGGAAATTGAAGTATAAAAAAATTCCCCTTCTAAATCATTAGGTAACCAAATAAATAATCTTAGATATAGAACAATAAACAGGCCATGCAGGACTTGACTGATGCCTTTATAAATCTTACATTTATTCCAGTTTCTTCTGAGCCCTAATTTCCAATCAGCCCCATAATTATGTTTCTTTGAAATGTTTAAGAATGTCATTGGGGGCTGGTGAGATGGCTCAGTGTTCTAAAGCACCTACCTAGAACAAACTAAGCTAAGCAAAGCACAGGGACCGCGGTTCAATCCTCCAGCACCACATACCAGCCAGCCCCGCCCCCTGGTGGGCTGAGCTGGCCACACACACACACACACACACACACACACACACACACGTAAATAAATTAATAATAATAAAAAAAGAATGTCATGGTTTTAATAGACTGGACAAATTAATATTATGAAGACATTACATAGAATATTAAAGGGAACACCTAAGAGTCACATGAATTTTTTTTTTAAATTTTATGGATTTGGTACAGGGTCTCACTACACAGCTTGTACTCATAGTGATCCTCCTGTTTCAGCCTCCCCAGCACTAGGATTACAGATGTGCACCACCACACCTGGTTTTGGTGGCCCACTGGGTGCACCTTGGGTGGGGCTGGTGCAGCATGGTACCTGGATTCGAACCTGGGTCCTTGCACTTGCTTAGGCAGGCACTTAGACTGCTGCACTGTCTCCGTGGCCCCTCAGATGAAATTCTAACAGTTTCATACGAGGAATCAGGAGGCTGGTGTGGGGTCAGCCCGAGAAGTTAGTAGAGACTGGCTCCTCTTTGTGACTACGCAGTGCTTAATAAGTTATATTAATTGTCCTTCAGACCCATGAGACCTTCCTCACTGTGGAGAAATATGATGACACTACAACAGCCTGGCACATAATGTACAACGATGCTTCTTGGGAGACTCGGTGAGAATAGCTGCGGAATCTTTGTTCTCTCAGACCTTGGCAGAGTTGGTCAGCAACGCAGAAAACATGCGCAGAAGAGAGACTCAATACGAAGTACTCATAAGATCAATTGCCCAGGGATCCCTCTGGCCATATTGAACTGATGTATTACATTTTATTTTGATTCTACTTTTCCACCAAAAGCAGAAGTAGCGTGTGTGTGTGTGTGTGTGTGTGTGTGTGTGCGTGTGCGTGCACGCACACCTCTGTAAGATGGGTGTGAGTGAAGCTATGGACTCCATTCTTAGCTGCATCTTGGTTTCTTTCATGGTCACAGGTAGCCTGAAAACATGCTTTCTTGCAAATTCACTGAAAGAAGTCTTGGGTGAAGGAGTTTCGGGTCTCTGAGGAGCACAACATTCTTACTGGGAAAATAATGAAGCTGCTCCCCTACACAGTTCATGCTTGTATGCGGCCATGGATTCTTCACTTCTAGGACTGTGAGAGGCTTGCTGTTTAATTCTCACAGGGTCTTGAAGGAAGTTTCAAGGCTGTGTTTCCTCAGAGAAATTTATCTCTCTGCCTTTGTTACTGAATCCCAAAGCTGACTAGGTATTTTGAAGATTTTGATGGTTTGTCTGAAATAGGAAAATATTTTTCTCATGTCTATATGTTATGCCAAAAGATAGTGGTGTAGAAGTGGGTAAAATTTTTGGAAGCTTGCATTGAATTCAGAAAACGTCAAACCAATTTATTTGCATGCTGGTTTCATTCATTTGGTTTACTGAAAACAGGGATTTGACCATGTTTTGGTCCATTTGATAGTAACATGTAAGTACAGGTATGTTTTTTTCCTTTGGTCTTTAAGATTCTAGAATATAGGTATGTGTGTGTGTGTGTGTGTGTGTGTGTGTGTGTGTGTATGTATGTATGTATGTATGTGTGTGTGTGTTCACCAAACTATACATACTTAGTATAAAAAGTAGTGATTCCACTGGGTGGCACTCAGCAGCAGCATTCATCATGTTTTTAATTATACCTTGAAAAGCTACTGATGAAAGAAAACTTCTAGAAATGAAAAAGAACAATCTATTTTCAAAAGCTGAAACTCAGAAATACCAGGCCACACTAAAGCCAGATTGAGAACTCTGTCTTGTTCATTAGCAGCAAGCAGCACCAAATATTTATAGAGAACATGAGGCCAGTCACTCAGGAAACAAAATGTTGAGGGCATCCCTTCTGTATGCAAGGAACTGGCTTTCCAGATAGCTGAGGTATGAACTAATTTGTGGATCAGCGTCTCACTGTACTTTGAAGAGTGTCTGGTTCCTTACCATGGTGGCTGGGGCCAGCAGGATCTGACTCCGTGTTTTTCTCATCTTAGCTGTCCACCACAGCTCGATAAGCTCCGTTCCTGCACACCAGCTTTCTGTTTTTGGCTACACCAAGTTTGTACCCACTGCAGACACTGTGTGGTCTCTGTTTTTCCTTCCTAAAATACTTTTCTTCCACATCTCTGTGGACTTAGTCTAAATGACATTTCCCCAAAGAAATTTCTATCATATTTACCTCTTGTGGCTATCATTCTTAAAAATCTCAACATTATTGGTTTATTTGTTTGTCTTTGTTTTGATCCCTACCCCAATTGAACATAAATTTCTTGAACCGTTAAGCCACCTTTAAACTATCTCCATCTTGCTTACTACTGTGAGATATGATAAAAAGTATGACAAATGTTAAAGTTTTTAAAATTCATTACAGTAAGACACATTGGTATTAATAGGTCTCAAAATATTCCTGCCTGCTCTAAGCACACTTAGCCCATTCTTCTTTCCACTTTCTGAAGCAGTTCTGGAAATCCTCCCTTGTAAGTGTCTTTAGTTGCACTCTTGTGGCTGTCTGGATATCCTGAATCCGTTCCATACACTTTTCATGGTGATTTTGACTTTGGGGAAGTGCTAGAAGATATGTGATGCCAGATCTGCTGGAAATTTTGGTGAGGATGCACTATAATCTTTCTCTCCTTCTTTCTCTCTCTCTCTGCGTCTCTCTCTGTGTTTCTGTTTCTCTGTCTCTCTGTCTCTCTGTCTCTCTCTCTCTCTCTCTCTCTCTCTCTCTCTCTCTCTCTCTCGGAAACTAATTCAGGACCTTGCACTTGCCAGGCAGGCGCTTATGCCGCTGAGCTATCTTCCCGCCCCACACTATACATTTCTTCTATAAGCCTGCTTTTGTAATAGACAACACTTATCAGCCCAGCACTCATATTTTTAATTATATCTTGTAAAGAGTGATGAAGGAGAACTTCTAGAAGTGCTTCAGAAAGTGAGCAGAACCATGGGATCAATGTGTTCAAAGCAAGGGGGAGTATTTTGAGGACTTTAATGTCAATGTATCTTTTACTGTAATTCATTTTTTAAATTTCATCAATCATTATGCATTTTGATTGTGCTTCATTTGTCCTCAGTACTTTTTGAGTAGAACTGAATGTGGCACATGTGCTCCTTAAGTACACATTTTAAACAAGTCAGACTAGATGTGAAAAGAAGCATCAGTTGATATAGAGTCTGATAAGGATTAAGAGCGACACAACAATTCAAAGCAGGAGACGTCTGCATCCTAAATATCAAGTAAGGCTCCATGGGATGGATAAGTGTAGGTTATAAAGGCAGCAGAGAGATATTTCTTTAATTATTCTTCAAAGTTCCTTTTCTAGGAAATTGGTATTTATATTTTGTTCATTGCTACATAGAGCAGTACCTTGCTTACTGTAGGTGCTTCATGAATATTTGTGGAATGTTCATACATGTTTTTCTAAGCTCACATTTATAAGACTCAAGCTCTATTTTTCCTATTCATTTGTTTTCTACCAACAGGTTTTATTGGCACAAAGGATTACTGGGTCGGAGCAATGCAACGATTGAATGGCATATTCCAGAGACTGCCCAGCCTGGAATCTATAGAATAAGATATTTTGGACATAATCGGAAGCAAGAAATTCTGAAGCCTGCAGTTATACTCTCCTTCGAAGGCTCTTCCTCTGCTTTTGAAGTTGTGACTACTTAGCAGAAAGCTGACGGATATTTAAAGAACAGCTTTACTCTGTGTGCGTTATGTAACTAGTTTCACGGAAGTGTGAATCGCCATTTGGACTTCTATAATTGTCCCTGTTTGGGGACGGATAGTTTTCTGCTGGGACAGAGTCGTGTGTGTGTGTGTGTGTGTGTGTGTGTGTGTGTGTGTGTGCGTGCGCGCGCGTGTGTGTGTAAAGACAAAGGGAGAGAGGGAAAGGGAGCAAGAGTGAAAGGAGGAGGAGTGTGGGCGGTGTGTCCGCGTCCCATGTGTCTTAACTCCAGTAGCCGTGCGCCAGTGGTCTACGGCTGAGCATGATTTATTTCCCTTGAGGCCTTGTGATTATTCAAAGGACAATTCTCTTCAATATGAAACCTCTGACACGTTGACGAGAACGTTCCAAGATGTGGCCTATTTATTTATAGAATTATTGAATGTTAACACTGGATACATTTATAAATTTGTCTGGATTGATGCTGTATTTTACAGACAGGAAAAATGAGGTTTTGTAGATTTCAGATTCAAATTAGCTGATAGCACCTTCCCCTCCCCCACTGCATTTAAAAAATATTATGTAACTTTGCCATAAATGTAGAATCCTAGAGAAACAGAAAATCAGCATGTCCGTTTCCCTGCATTCACATAAGCATAGTCCTTCTTAGCAGTCACTCTGGCATGGGTGTGCCTCGGCAAGAGTCAATGCTCGCGTCGTTTCTGGAATTCCTTTCAGATCCCAATTATGAGAAGTCAGACTTGGAATATGTTGATCTTGCCTTGTATTTTCCTAAGTGTCCTTATTCCAAGAGATTGTATCCCTTTTTCTTAAGATTTATTCTAAGTCAATTGTTTTCACCAATTAAATTCACCTCA